AAGAAAGTAATAATAAAGACAGCTTAGAATTATAAAAGTAGGCACTTTATAATCTACAGCGTAAACTAGAGCTAGACAGGGCAAGATTACTCTAGAAAGGCCTAAGATAGCTAAAAATAGCAGCTGTTACTTAAGTAACTAAAATAAAAGCTTTAAGTACTGCTAGAATAGTAGATAAAACCTAAAGCCTAAAAAGCTTTTTAATAAAAGTAATTATAAAAAAGCTTAAAAAAAATCTGCACACTAAAGGCGTAAAAAAGGCCTAAAAAAAGATGTAAAAAACTAACTAGACTAAGTAAGCAAGTAGTTAGAAAAAAAAAAAGACTTTTTACTTATAAAAAAAAGACTTATATACCTAGAAAAGTAAAAATTTAAGCTTTTTAGGCCTACTATAACTATTTCTTAGTAGGCTATTTTAGATTTAGCAAAACCTTTTATTAGGTACAAAGGGACTTTTATTAGCTAGGTATGTAGTAATACACTAAAGACTACCTTAGCACATGCTAGGCCTACTAACGCGCGAAATCCCCTTAACATGCCCTGTATAGGGAACTCTAGCCCCTTCTAGTCCTCTCTAGGATCTAGGAGGATATCTTTATAAATTTTATTACAGAGCTACTACCTAGCTAGTTAAATAAAAGAAGCTATAATAGTATTTTAGTTATAATTAATTATTTTTTTAAAATAACCTACTATATTTTTAGTAAGGGCACTTTAAAAGCAGCAGCTTTAGCTAAGACCTTTAGGCAGGAAATTTTAAGACTTTATAGCCCCCTTTTTTTTATTATAATAGACTAGAGGGCCTTATTTATGTTTATTTATTAAAAGATGTTTATAGCTTACTTAAAAATAAAAAGACTTTTCTCTACTACCTTTTACTTATAAACTAATAGCTAGACTAAGCGCTAAAACTAAACATTAAAGTAGTATCTTTAAATATACTACAACTATAAGTAGAATAACTAGGTAAAGATTCTCTCTAATACAGAATATACTTATAACAATACTGTTTATAGCTTTATAGAGATATTACTATTCTAAGCTGTCTATAAAAAGGATCTGCTGTCTATAGATATGCTAAAATAAGTAAAAAAAGCTAGTATTTCTTTATAAGCACTTTAAAATAGTAATAAACTAGCCTAGACTAGGTAAAAGCTAGCTAAACACCTTAAAATAGCATAAAAGTACTAAAAGTAATAGCATAATAAAACATATAAATATAAAATATACTTAGTAAGAAACTAGGTATACTTTAGCACTAAAAATATTACTACTTTTTAGCTAAAAAAGAAGCTAGATAATAAATATATAAGCCTTTAAAAAGTTTTTACTATATATAAAACTTAATTTTACTGCTTAGACTTACTAGCTAGCTTTTAAATCTACCTAGTATTCTATGTTAGCCTTTTTAAGCTAGCACCTTTAAGTTACTTATTACCTTATAAACAACCCCTAGCTAAGGCAGTAATACCTTAAGTAAGAATAAATATATAGAACATAGACTACATTATAGACTAAGAGCTGCATAAGGGAATATAGCTATACAGAGTACACTAAAAAAAAGTTTAGAAAGAAAGATAACTAACTACTTTTAGTAAAAAATATATTTAAAAAGGCTATAAATAAATTCTAGAGATAAGTAAAACTACTAGTATAAAAAAGAATAAAAAGAAAAAAAAAAGGCTAAATTAGGCTAAAAAAGACTAGACTAAAAAAAATAAACTTAGACTAGACAACTTTATAAAAGCTTAAAATATTTAAAAAAAAAACTTTTAAGCACTATAAACTTTAAAAACTTAGCCTATTTTTTACTATTCTTATTTTTAAATACTACTAGATTAGTCTAGATTACCTCTAGACTAGCCTAAATACCTCTAAAAAAATAAATGCACTATAAAGCCTAAACTTTACTAGAAAAACTTAAAAGAGAAGTAAGCTACTAAAAAAAATATAAAAAAAGTATAAAGTGCTATAACTATTTTTAAAAAAGCTACTACTATGTAAAAATAGACTAAACTATTCTAAAAAAGAAAAGAATAGTAAGTAGAAACCTAGAAAAGGCAAAACTTATTTTAAAAAGCCTAGACAGGCTTAGAGACCTCTAGATCTGCTAGACTAATATAAAAAAAAATGCTAAGAAAACTAAAAATAAAAGTAAATAACTTACTTTATTCTAAAAAATGTTTTACTTAGAGTTAAAAGTGTTAAAATTATAAGTAAAGTTAGTTTTTTATATGCTTTACTTACTTTTATAAAATTTCTTAGTAAAGAAAAAGACCTAAGCCTAAAAAACACTAAAATTAGTAGTAAAAAGCTAAGTACTCTAGACAAAGTTAGACTGCTCTAGAAGAGCCTAGATAGGTATAAGTTAGAGAATATATAGTATAGACACACTTAAAGACTAAAAAAAGAGGTTTTAAGCTGTTATTATTACTTATTTTTTTTTTACTTTACTAATACTTTTTTTTTTACTTTGCTAAGACTAATAATACTTAAGTCCCTAAACACTTTCTTACTAACATAAAAAAAAGTTAGAGTGTTACTAGCTATTTTACTATAAACAAGCCTAGCAAGAATTAGTCTAGAAACCCCTAGAAAGCTCTAAAGACCTTTAGAGAAACTTAGAAAATTTTAAAAAGTAGCTAAAAATTATAAACTTATTAAAATAAATAATAACTTTATTAACTTTTTTATAAAGACTCTTAATAATGTTTAGTAAGTACTTTTAAGTGTTGCTAAAGTTAATTTAGGTCTTAAGCTAAAAAAAACTACTAAGAATAGTGCTTATAATAGTTATAATTACTAGGTAATAGTTTTCTAGGCACTATAACCTAAAAATTAGTAAAAAGAACTAAGAACTACCCTAAAAACCTCTAGACAGCTATAAACAGCCCTAAGATAACCTACTTAATAGCAGTCTCTGCTACCTTTATAGTAGCTATTACACTTTAAAAGGTTATTAGTGCGCTTAGGCTTTAATAAGCCTTAATAAATGTAAGTATTATAAGTTTAGACGTTGCAATCCTTCTTAATAAGGAAATAGCATAGTAGAATTACACCTAGCTTATGCGCTATAATTCTGCCTATAATCTTATTAAGGTAAGTTAAGTAAGGATTAATAGTAGCTAGGGCTTTATTTATAGCTAAAGTAATCCTATCTAACTACTTACTAGCTAAGAAAGACATTATTAGTAGTAAAATATGTAAAATAAGGCTTAGAGGGCCTAGAGGGGCCTAGATTAAGATAGACAAGACTAAAGGCCTTAAAAATAAGATAGAGGATAGCTAGCTAGGGTAGCTAGCTAAGGAAGAATCTAAAAGTAGTTAGAATAGAAACTCTCTAGGACAGACAGAGCTTTATATAGGGTCCTCTAGCCTAGAGGGGCCCTAGAACACCCTAGGAACCTCTAAGAAGGCCTAAGGGCTTCTGCAGAAAATCTCTCTAAAATACATCCTAGAAGCATAGAGTAAAGTGTAAGTGTAATAAAAAATTTAGCTTAGTAAAAAGTATTTAACCCCTTAAATTAAAATTAGAGTAACATAAAATTACATAACTTCTAAACTTTAAAAAAGGGCTTAGATTTAAGCGCAAAGTTACGCCTTAAAAAAAATAGGGCTTTATAATAACTAGCTATCTAGGTGTTTCCTAGGCTGTTATAGACTAGCCTAGACTGCACTAGGCAGTCCTAGACAACTTCTAAACTGTGCTGTTAACCCTACACTTCCTAGACAATGCCTACCTTACCTAAAAAGCTAGGCATCTTAGACAGGTAATACTTTAAACTAGACCTACAGCATACTAGATCTGTCGCTACCAGCGCTGCCGTGCCTGGCTCTCTAGAGAAGTATATAGCTAGTTGTAGAAGCCCTTTTTAGATAGCAGAGGATTGCCTTAGGAATTAGGCGGGTATTAATTGTACTCCTATGTCACAGTCACGCCCTTGTTGGTTAATACACCTCTTAATTGCGAAGTGTATACCCTGTTTTTTACAAAAAGCTTAGAGTGTAAGCTGTATCTAACATTCTTTTAGCATGTCTAAGTAGTGTTGTTAGGAATGCATTAGTGTAAAAAAAGTAGTTTAGTAGAGTCTTAGTAAAAGTAAGCAACTTAGGTGTGTAAGCAACTCGCCTGTAAAGTATGTTAGTTAAAAAAATTAAAAGTGTTACACTTACATAAGCACACTAAAGTCTTTTAGATAGAAGAAGCTTTAAGAAAATTATAGCTTCTAATTAGTTTAGAAAAAACTTAGTAGACTATAAAAAAAACAGCTTTACTTTAAGAAGTATAGTGTGGCGCTAATCAAAGCCCTCGACCGTCTAAGCTTGCTGAGATAACCTGTGACCACAACTGATCGCGGGTTTCACCAGGTGATCGCAGGCTTGGCATGCGACCATCCGCCAAGCCTTGCGATTGCACTATACCTGTCCTGGAGCGTCACGTGATGCGACCTCCGCGGGCCGGCCCTCACCAGCCTCCGTCCGTCCTTCCTCTGGCCCAACCAGTAGTCGTAACATAGAGGCGGAGGTACGGAGGCCCAGGAGCCTATATACCCCGTGCCAAGCCCTTAGGGTACTCAGGGTTGGATAGCTGTAACATAACTGTGACAAAAATACGTTATAAGAATTTAAGAAAAACTATAACTAGCGCTTTAATTAATTATTATTAAATAATAGAGAATACCCTGTTAAGCATGTAGTACTAATTTTAGTAGTAGGGTTAACTGAGGTTCTGCCGAGCCCGCTCGGGCTAAGTGTAAATACTGTTTTGCAAATGGCTGCAATTGGCATTGCCAAGAATTCAGAGAATATGGCAACCTAAGTGTTCTCGCAATATTTCTGTTCTTCCTACTATTCCGCTTTCATTTCTTTACAGCAACTGAATTGCCTGGATTTCATGCCCTCTCTTGCGATTCTTGATCCCGACTAGAAACAAGCAACAAGCCCACTGGATATGATTCCTTCTGTTTAGCATGGAACGTTAAACTTTGTTTCGAGTAACTTTCACTTCACCTACTACTGTATTTCATGCCTTTTGTGTGTTCATCCTCTCAAACCCGCTAAATTCAATTCACCAACCAAACATCATGGCCTCCAACAGCGCCTCAATCTCTATCCGCACCTATATCGCCTTCCTCCCGCACCCCCTCCCCCAAGACACCCCAATCCCCTACACCCCCTCCCTCCACATTACCAACCCCCTCAACATCCCCTTACCCTCAGAGCCAACCTCTACCCTCGTTCTTACAACTCCCCGCTCCACCTATCTCGACATTCGCATTCTCAAACCCCTCACACCCACCGACAACGAACCACTCCCAACCCGCGGCGGCCCAACCTACCGCCTCGACTGGGCCTTTGCCGGCACATCTGCCAGCCGGCTGATATCTAGCCGCGAATCTGACGGCGTCAAGCATTCAACCTGGCACCATTGGCTCGACAACCACTACCCCATCGGAAGTCCTGAGATCCCTCTTGATGAAGGGGATATGTATCCCGTATCCCCAACTCTAACACTCGAATTTGGAACCATGTATAACCTGCCCACGAACTCCCTCCAGAACTACGAGGAAATGTGGAAGGATTTACCGGTTTTGGCTACCTACCCCGAGACGGTGAAATGGGCGATGGTGATGAAACTTGATGAGCCGGCGTATGGGGTGAGAGGGATGGTTGTTCGGCTCGGGCAATATGTGCAAGGGATGTTGAAGAGAGGGGAAGAGGTTACGGTTGAGCGGTGGGAGTTTGTAGAGACGAAAGATGGGGAAGGGAAGGTGGTGGATGGGGAGTGGACGAGAGTGGTGAGATTGGGGGATTTGATGGTTCCATGCGTAGCGGCATTTGAGCCAGAGAATGTGGAGTTGGGGACCTTGGTTACGTATGAACATTACGCGTGGGTTGTGGATGAGTTGGAGAGTTGGAGGGCAGAATAGGGGAGTAGGTACGGAATGGCATTGGAACTAGATATACCATTCTAGAGGCCAGGAAACACCAGCTCTAGAGTGATCACAGCATATGAAGCTACGAGGGACACCGGTTATGAAAACTTCATATCATTGGGGCGAATGGCGGCTTGCATTGTGCATAACTAGATATCATTGACACATTGTCATTGCTTGCAGAGACCTATACATTCCATTGACGCCGTCCATGCATAAGTTCCCGTGGCCAAACCGTGACCATCATTTTAGTGCCTACCTCGACGTATCTTAAGCACTCCGAACCAACACAATTAGTAATTTATTTTTTCTTGGTCTGCTCCTCCTCAGCCTTGGCCTTGGCTCTCTTCTCACGAACACCGATAAGACGAGCCTCAGAGCGCGCGTCACGGAGCTTCCTGTAAGCATTCTCATCACCCTTGTAGTTGCCAATCGGGCCCTCCTCGAACTCGACGACATTCTTTATGGGAAGGACCGAGGTTGTGGATACAACGGTGTTTTCGCCTTTCTTGGCAGCCTTGACCTCTGCAGCGGAAGCGTCACCCTTAGTCACCTTGCCATTGCGGCGAGGGAAGAGGATGAGGCGCTTCTTGTACGCTTGGAGACGCTCCACGTTGGCCTTGAGGCTTTCCTCGGAAAGGTTCTGACGTCGAGGGTCGATGGCGATACCAATAGTGGGCGCGAGCTTGCGGGGGATACCAGCGGCTTCATTTGTGTCAGTGGGTGCAGTGGAGTTGTGAGTTTGGTGGGCTTACTCTTTAACTCAGCGAGGGTGAAACCACGGCCTGGGCGAACACGGCGGTTGTCTGTTGGGAAGTTAGCGTAATGGCCTAACATCACTTTTTGTTGTATACTCACACTTAATCGACGAGCATCGGACGACAGGCCGCAGCCTGTCGACAGGACGAGGAGCGACTTTGGCAGCTTTAGCAACGCGAGCGTTCCTACGACGAGTCTTGCGACCAGGCTGTTGCGGTCGTTAACTTCTGGACAACAGGCGCCACTACTCTCATGACATTGAGAGGGGAATTACCTGGTCAAAGTGCACTCGCACTCGGCGCTGCCTATTAATTGTCAGGCCTGAATCGCAAGTGTTTGCTGAGGGGTTCCATACCAGTCTTTGTGGAAGTGATTCTTCTGAATCTGCTGGTTGTGTTTGATCGCCATCGTCGCGGTTTACCTGGAAACCCCAATTAGCTCAAGCAATGAGGGGGATTGTTGAATCCAAGCCGTGGCAGACGAACCTTTTCGATGGTGGACCTAGAGGTTAGTATTGTTGCATAAGGGTGCGAATGTGCGGTGTCGATTTTCAACCTCGCTAAGCGGGTCGGATAAGGGATTGACCGAGATCACATGATAGCCGCAACCCAAATTTGACCTCACCCCAGTATCTCGACTTCTCAGGCATCACACTTAAAGGATCAAGATTCCATGCCTATGTGGATTTATTTACTATCCTATAATTCTCGTCTCATACGATGCGTAATGATATTGCCAACATGCTCTAATCAATCCCTGCAACATCCAGCGACCAGCGACTAAGGCGAATATTACAATTTTGGGGACGAAGCCAACCAAATGTAGTGCACATGCACTGAAAAACCGAAGTTAAATGAAACCCCAAATCCGTCCAAGATCGTCAGTCGTTAATTACAAGGAAACATTTTTAACACTCAATCCCGCAAAAGACCTCCTATTCCCAAACCCACCGCCTGATCCAGCCGCCCTCGTTTAGTTGGGCTGCCATGATGGTCGCCCGACTGTAACCTCCTCTTTTCAAATTCACCAGGTCGACTTGCGGCAGACTTCTTCACCTGTCCGAAGATTTTGCTTTGTATCAAGCGGTCTGACGTTTGGGATGACGGTGTCGACATTTGCTTAGGTGCTGCTCTCCGAAGCATGCTTGTGGCCATTTGGCTAGCCTGCGATTCAGGCACCTCATCCTCTTCTCTATCAGTAAAAGCCTCTTCATCAGCTACGCTTGATGCTGTAATGGTAGAATTACTGCTTTCTCGGCGGATATGAGCTGCCTTCTGCTGGTAGTGTGCAGGTGGTGCAGATTGAGGAATGTTAATAGCGGAGAAAGTTGGAGGAGTACATGGAAGATCGTGGTGAAGGTGAGCAGTTCGACGGTTTGGAGTCTGGGGAAGAGAGGACATTGAATGTGTGCCTCTGCTGTGCCCCAGACGCGACTTGGGCACATGAGACCTCGTCGGGGTTGAAGGGGCAGTGGCGGTTTCCTGACTGAGCATCTTGTCTGCCAAAAGAAGCGCATCGAAGTTGTTGTGTCCGCGAGTGTTTTCAGTAGACAAGGGAGGGGGACCTCGGTTCACGCGATGCCGTGGGGTAGCTTGCTGAGGTGTACCAAGCATAGAACGAGGTGACCCTTGTTCGTTCATTTGTTCAAAATACGGAAGCAGAGGAGCAATGTGGTCTCTGTTCTTTCGAATCCGAGTCTTGAGTCGGTCGTTTTCCTCCATGAGGCTCGCCAGCTCTCCTTCCCTGTGTTCAGTTAGGCGCTTTTGCTGGTCGATCATGTCTCGAAGCCCTTCATTCTCGTCCTGAAGCAACTGACACCGTCGATTCAACTCTGACATGAGAATTGCATTTGCAGGGTTGATGGGCACTTCTTGGAAGCTCTGAGCAGGCGAAGACAAAGTGTTGCGACGCTTCTCCTCGGCTTGCTGCAGGACGTCTATCTCACGCTGTGCCATGGCAAGCTCAACCGCCATACGGCTTGCGGATTCCCGGCTCTCCATCACTGCCATGCTATACTGCAACTTGTAATGGGCTGCGGAAAGGCGAGTATCTCGCAACGTAGAAGTGAGCTCATTGACCATAGACCGCAGCTCGTCTGCAGAAGCATTGTTGACTTGATCTGGGGAATAGAGAACTGCTGTTGAGTCGGCCAGGTTGGAAGGTTGATTGGAGAGCTTAGTAGTTGGAGGAGGCGATGTGAGCTGTGGTGTCGGCGGGGTAGGCGTGCGTACTGCAGCACGAGTATTTGGCACTTGAGAAGAAGGTGGCGGCGTCATAGATGAAGTTGTTGGAGGTGCGGGAGAGGTAAACTTGGCCGGATCGGGGGAGAGGGCCATCGGCATGTTTGAAGGTACGGGAGAGCCAGACCTAGAGGCTGAACGAAGCTTGGGTGTGGTCGGTCGAGAGAGTTCCGTGGAAGGCATGAGCGAGTCTTGGGATGCCTGGGATAAAGGTACGTGGGAATCCATTTTGCCTCGGTGCTGCAGGTGGCCCAAGCCTTGAGCGACACGTCAGAAACGCAGCCGAGTCGCGACGCGGGAACAATATGTTTCGTTGTCTCCCTTCCGTGGCCGAATTGCGGCGTAGGGCGGCGGATTCTAGTGAGGCTTGGTGGACCCTGGGGAGGTCAGACGCGAAGTTGCAGGTATACAAGTGGTCGAGGACGCGGGAGAGCGAAAACTGCGAAGCGGGGCGCGTCGATGCGCGCTGTCGCCGGGCCGATCGCAAGGACGATAGGACCAATTCCGCGACAAACTCGATCGGATTGCTGTGAGGATATCGACGTGGCGCGAAAGTGTCTCTGGGGTAGGGTTGCGATGCGTGGTGAATGGAGAGGTTGCGCGCGGAGGCTGGGGACAGTGATGGGGTTGGCCTGGGAGCGGCCGCCGAGCAGGCACGAACCGCCCCTAAGCCTAGCTGAGGCGTCGCGGATTTGAAACCGCAGCGCTAGCGTGTAAACATCTGCTGCACCCGGCAACGGCGAAGAACGCCCAGACACGCCCGTGCTCCCTGTGCTGGCCCTCGACGCAAATTATTCTCAGGCCTCGCTGGTTGGACATGGCATTCTCTGCGCATTTCTTCTGAGACACCCCCCTTGGCATTATCTGCTGTCTGTGTTATTTACGGGCACTGGCATCTACGATGGATCCTCCATCTAGCCTTCCTGTCCGAACGTCGGGGATCCCTCGACCTCCGTCTCGTCTCCCAGTGCTGCGGTCCTCTGCAAGTCAATCGCAGCTCCGGCCAGCGTCGTCGGCGGAGCAATTGCGTAAGAAGTCATCTTTTGTATCCCTCTCGAAGCCCGCGCCGGCCCCCGCGGCGCTTCAGAAGAAGCCATCGAGTACATCCCTTGCTCCCGCAATGCTACAGAAGAAACCGTCGAGAGCGTCTCTTGCTCACACGACTACGCCCTCAACTACCGCGTCGAATACGAGCTTGACGCGAGCATCCCTGACGTCAGCGAAGAGGCGTACGACTACTGTCCCGAACAACATACAAGCCCGCACCTCGAACAACGATGCGACCGTCTTCAAGAAACCCATTGGCCGAGCCCCCTCCGGGCAGACCCGAGTCAAGCCTGCAGCTACTCCATCGGCCTCCAGTGTGGGTTACCAGCAGGATGAACTGGGAGACCTAGAAGGTTTCCGATCTGCCTCCCGAGCATCGTCTCGCGCAGGATATCGAGACAATGAGCCCGAGCAGGCGGTCGAGAGCGATAACGAACCGGTAAAACCACCACGGAAAGCGAGGCCGTCCTTGTCAGATCGTACTATCGAAAGCCTATCACAGCTCCCATCGTCTCCAGCGGGTAAGGGAAGGAGGAGGTCGAGCTTCTTCTCCGCAGACAACTCAATGCCTCCCCCAGCGCGCCCTGCTTCCGCTCTGGGAAACAACCGACGGCCTATGACGAGTGATGGCACTCCTCAATCGAGACTAGCAACACCAGGGAAGGCTGGTGGTCTGTCGCCGCGAGGGTCTATGACAGCTCCAGGTAAGAGGAGCGTCAGTGCCGCTTTACTCCACAACCTAGCTTCGACCCCGAGCAAAACCCCCCCGATTGGCCGACCATCCTCGCATCTTAGGAAACAACCCCTTTCTCAGATGCAGAACGTACAGACCACCCCAAAGCCTAGACCACTGTCGAACAGCAAAACAATGACCGCGAGGACACCGAAGGCACGCCCGTCTCTAACTGCAGCATTTGGGAAGGCCATATCCCCACCGGCATCTGTTGTTCCACTTACGCCATCTCCGGGCAGGGAAAACTACGTTGATAGGAGCCCGGAGTCAAGCCGCAAGGTTTCCAATTCATCCGCTGCCCTTCGAGAGCAGATAGCAAAAGCAAAAGCAGCTCGACGTTCCGGGGCTTCCAAGCAGACACCAGAAATGCCAGGGAGATCATCCAGTTCTTCTAGTGCCTTACGGGAACAGATTGCGAAGGCAAAAGAAGCTGCTCGGCGTGCCAATGCCTCCCGGCAGTTTGGAACAAGCACGCCCCCTAGAGAAGTACCGGCTGTGACGGAGAACGAATACGGGATTGAACCAGATCCTGCTGAAATATCGCAGTTCGACTTTGGTTTAGATGACCCATTCAATCAGCATCCGAAGGGTGCCAAGGCTCTCATCCGAAAACGGATCGATTCTGCCCGTGTAGAAGGACGACTCAACCTTGCTGCTATGGGCTTAAGCAAGATTCCTGATGATGTTCTGGACCTGTACAAGTATGATCCGAGCGACGACAACGAAATTGCCTGGGGCGAGATTGTTGATCTCACTAGCATCATTGCCGCAGACAATGAGCTTACAGTACTCCCAGAGGGACTATTTCCAGACATTGATGTCGAAACGGTAGCTGATGATAGCGATGTTGGGTCTCAATTTGGTGGAATTCAAACCCTCGATCTTCATGGCAATATTCTTCAGCATTTACCCGTTGGCTTGAGGCGTCTCTCTCAGCTCTCCAAGTTGAATCTGGTAAGAAGATGAAATCGTACGTAAAGAGCGATCTGAGAGGCTAATTCATGATGTAGTCTAGGAATAAGTTACCCATGGAGGCCTTGGACATCATTTCACAAATCACTTCCTTACGTGAGCTCAAACTTGCTGATAATGCCATTATGGGCCCATTGCCGGCAAGCCTCCGAAATCTTAACCAGCTAGAAGTCCTTGAATTACAAAACAACAAGCTCACCGAATTGCCCTCCGAAATCCGAGAGCTCGCCCATCTACGGTCGCTAAATGTTTCCGACAACCAATTGCGGCAGCTGCCAACAGAGCTCTTTACCTCAGTCCCCATCATCGAGCTCATAGCATCGAAGAACGTCTTCAGTGGCTCATTCTTTGATGTCGACACTGTGCCCCATCTGCAGACACTTCAGATCAGGAACAATTCGATATCTTCTCTCTGCGAAAATGGAACAGTGCTTCTACCTGCTCTCAAGACTCTCGATATCACGGCTAACCGATTGTCTGCTCTGCCGGACATCTCATCTTGGACGAGCCTCACAACCCTCCTTGTTGGTGAGAACAAGTTGACAACACTTCCAGAAGGCTTCTTGTCATTGCAGAAGCTTCGCACGGCAGATTTTACTGCGAATGATTTGATAAAGCTCGATGAGCGGATTGCTTGGATGGATGGCTTGGAGAATTTGACAGTAACTGCGAACCCAATTCGCGATAGGAAGTTCCTTACCATGAATACTGAAGATATTAAGCGTGATCTTCAATCTCGATTAGATCCTAGCGATATTGACGCCCCAGGTGCTGATACCAAAACCGCAGAATTATCAAAAGCAGTTGGCTCTGATAGCGATTGGACGTTGAAACCATCTGGTACCCTTGACCTATCATTCAAGAACTTAACAGTGGTTGACGAGGAATTAATGGCATCCTTCGCCGAATCGAACGATATTCGCCAACTACACCTTCAACAGAATTACTTGGTGGCTATTCCCCCAGTCCTGTCCCAGATCAATCTTCTCACGGTACTTGACTTGTCGAAGAACGGTATCACAAAACCTCTCACGGAAACACTTCAGCTACCCAAGTTGCGAGAACTTCGTTTGATGGGAAACAAACTTCGGACACTCAACCATCTCATGGAATTCCTCTCGGCACCATATCTTCAACATCTTGATGTTTCTAACAACCACATTTCCGGTCCTCTTCCGATCCTTCGAGAAGCCTTCCCGGGCCTTCTTCTTCTCATGGCTTCTGATAATGTCATTTCTGAGGTTTCAGCAGAATCGTTGGACGGGCTCAAGATTGTCAACCTCAGTAACAACGAAATCTCTCGTCTTGAGCCTCGCATCGGACTTTTGGCAGGCACTTTGACCGGCTTAGACGTGGAAGGGAACAAGTTTCGGGTTCCTAGTTACACCATTCTAAAAAAGGGGACAGATGCCGTATTGAAATGGCTCAGGGATAAGATCCCATCTCCTATAGAGGAGTTGTAAAGTCTCTATTCTTCCTTTGTATAACATCTTTTGAATGACTTTGTCCGAAGATTGATTTGGATTGCGCCGGTGTTAGGACGTGTTTTCTTAGGTTGGCTGCCTAGTATGAAGATACCGATTCTCTGTGTTCTCGTTGTTAGGGAGCGCCTAGGGGCTTAGGATTCGGTGGCAGGCGATTACGGCTAGCTCTCCCTAGGTTGGCATGTTGTTGGTTGGATACAATCAATTATAATGACTTAATTATGCATCTGTTCTTCAAACATTCAGGAAGCAAACCTTATGCTTCGTTGTATCCACAAAAACAAAGCGCGACCCGACCCAATGAACTCGTCTGTGTGCTCGAATTGCACGAGTTTCTACTTCACAGGCAATAATGGACTGCGGGTTGCACTTTTCTGTTGTTACTTCCTGGTCTTTCTTGATATTGCATTCTCTTTCTCTCAATTTCCTGTTAATTGCTTTGAATTGCAATTGATGGTAAACGAGATCCTGAATATCCTATTGATGGCCCATGTTCACTATTAAGTTACCGACCGTGGTCCTAATCCCGAAGCCCAGGCTTATGTAATGACGTGTCTGTCCCAAATTAGACTAGCGCTATTCCTCGGACGAAACCCAGAGACAGTCCGCTAGCACCATCGAGTGACGCACCAAATGGAATGTGAGCTCGAGATTTCGTCCATACACAATATTAACGCCGCTATCCCCGTGAGACTGAATCGCACCGTTCAGAGACAGAAGTTTGTCCTCGCTGTTTACAGAATTCCCTCCTCCGTCATATGTCCGCTCTTCATTGGCAAGAGCGCTTCATCTGTGGTTTTGGATAGTGAGTCATCTGCCAATTGTAGCATAAAACTGAATAGGGATGGTGATAGATGGCTTTTCTGGTTTTACCAAGGTCCGTTGGAATTTGTGCGGTTGGCCCGATCGCCTTTGAATGAGGTTAAGATGCATAGTATGGAGGGCTTGGACATAAAGGTGAAGAGAAGTACTGAGGATAGGTAGTATCAATATCGATATATCTAGCATAAAGTCGTTGCCTCTCTAGAATATTCAACATTTATTTCGATTTTTTAACTCCTACTTCGCACAGCCTTAAATCGCCGTGTCTATTCAAAACCACAACCCTCAGAAACCACAATGGCCCAAAAATCGATCCAAGAGCATATAAAGGAGGTATTTGGCACTGAGGCGAAGGAGAGCTCCGAGCCAAAAATGAGCTACAACCGGTAAATGAGTCTGCTCTCTGGCAGTCTTCCAATCCTAACAACTCCTCATCCAGCCTCGGAAAATCTGGCCTCAAGGTTTCCAAAGTCATTCTCGGTGCCATGGGCTATGGCGACCCCAAGTTCGAGACCTGGATTATGGACGAAGAAAAATCTCTCCCATTGCTGGAGCATGCGTACAAGCGTGGCATCAACACCTGGGACACCGCCGACTTCTATTCCATGGGAAGGTCTGAGGAGATTATCGGAAAGGCTATTAAGAAGTATAACATTCCGCGCGAGAATTTGGTGATTCTTACGAAGTGCTATTTTGGCCTTGATGCGAAGGTTATGGAAGCCGGGCATATTAATGTCCCAATGGCCATGACCAATGATGGCTATATGGTTAATCGAGTTGGGTTGAGTCGAAAGCATATTCTCGACGCAGTTGATGCCAGTTTTGCTAGACTGGGCACCTACATCGACGTTTACCAGATCCATCGTTTGGATCGTGATGTCCCTCCTGAGGAGATCATGAAGGCTCTCAACGATGTCGTCGAGAGCGGCAAGGTCCGATATCTTGGGGCCAGTTCAGTAAGAACCCAACATTTGCCTCTAGGCCGCAGAGAAACATTTAACAAGTAATAGATGGCAGCCTGGGAGTTCCAAATGCTGAACAACATCGCTGAGAATAAGGGCTGGCACAAGTTCATTAGCATGCAAAACTACTACAACCTCATTTCTCGTGAAGAAGAGCGCGAAATGCACCCCTACTGCGAGCACGCTGGAATAGGCCTTATCCCTTGGTCGCCTCTTGCTCGCGGTATCCTCACCCGTCCTTGGAAGGCCGAAGCTGATTCCATTCGCGCGCAATCTGATCGATTCGCGGCACTGTTAAGTAGCGAGGATGACAAGGTCGTCGTCAACCGTTTGGAAGAGGTGGCGAAGAAATTGGGTGTGAGCATGGCTGTTGTGGCGATTTCTTGGAGCTTGAGAAAGGGTGTTAATCCGATCTTGGGCTTGCAAAGTATTGCTAGGATTGATGAGGCTGTGGATATGGTGAATTTCAAACTGAGTGATGAGGATATGAAGGCCTTAGAGGAAGTGTACAAGGCTAAGCCTCCTGCTCCCGTGTACTGAGCGCCTCTGAGTGTAAGGCCGAGATGGTCCTTACGCGCGACGGGTATATATACTATTCTGTACGCAGAATCAACTGTTGGTTGACTATTCGCACCTTTTTGGTTGTATTGGCGCAGTGGTACAGAGCTCCGTCCTTACACTGAGAGGTCACAAGAAGATAGTGAGCTGTCGAATCCACTCTCAATTCTGTAAAGTGTATCCTTTACGCCTTTAAGTCTTCCATTCTATTATTATTCCATTTCCCCAAGATTCAGGCCGCCCTTGTTTCTCCACATATTGCACTTTAGAACCTAGCGTCGAACAGTGACAGGATATTTAGGAACATAAAGTCACGTCCCACTGACAAACTCTTTTTTAGTGAGATGTTATCAGATAGAGCCTACTGTGAGGGCACTGTATACAGGAAGCATGAAGCACAGAAGAGGGTACAGGATAGTATTAATAGACGAATTGTTGAGGAGACTCAGGGGTTCAGGAGAGGATATATATGTATATATGTACTAGGGCACGTGACAAGACGTTATGTGCCTAAGGCTAGGCTAAGCGCTCTCTAGGGAGAGTCTAAGGCATGTCTAAGTTAACTATAACATAGCCCCTCTTCTTCTACAGGTTGTCCTTAATTCTATAATTAAATAGGTAGGATATTATAATAACTTAGACAAGCTCTTAACAGACCTATAGTAAGAACTATATAAGTTATACCTAAGTAGTACATATTCTTAGTAACTAAGCTTTAGTAAAAGAAAACTATAACGTACTTTATAGGCAAGTTGCTTACACACCTAAGTTACTTACTTTTACTAAAACTCTACTAACTGTAACGGCGCAGGCAAGACAATGGGTCCGAATGCGGTGGGAATCCACTCAGAGGCATATGGGAGTGCGTGGGGACTCTGAACCTGGGAATGCCATTAACACCTGTAGGCCTTGTACAAAAGGATATTAGAAAACTACTAAGCTAGCTACAGAGGCAAAGTGCAACTAAATACATAAGGGAATAAAGGTAACTGTAAAGAACTAGGTTAAGTTATAGTTAGGGCTAATACAGGGACCCTTTAGATAGGGTCTAAGCAACCTAAGATAGAACAATTTATAAAATTATTACACTACCCCCCCTTTTATAGGCTAATAGTCTTTATCTATAGTGTGTAGAAAATATTTAAAACTAATTTAAAACTAATTTAAATAAGATATAATAAGTACAACTATCTTAACTAAAATTTTCTATTACTAAGAAATAGACTAAAAACTTAATACTAATATAATACCTTTGTTATAATGTTTTTGTTTAGTAGTAACTAGCAGTGTAGTTATTATTAATATAGTAAATTTATTATTTATAGTAACAAGTGTTTGCTTACTTTACTTATATAGTTTAGTTAATATTATTAGTTTCTTTTTTAGCTATTATCTAAATCTCTACTTTATAAGTATTATTATGCACTTAACATTTTATAGCTTAGTCTACTAACTAATTATAGTATTAAAAAAATTTACTATGCTGCTTTGCCTCTCTTCTAGAGCCTCTTTAGAGGCGTTTTAAGTTATCTACTTTTAAGCTGCCTATGCTCTTACCTACAGCCTTTAAGTTAAGTTTTCTTATTAGTTTTTTAAATTAAAGAAGTGTAAATATTACACTTTATATAAATATAGTTTAATACTACTAGAGTATAGTTTACTAACACGCGTGTAAGTTCTTTTATATTATAAAAAAAATTTTAGTCCTTTAAAGCTATCTTAAGCTATAGGCAGTAGCCTAAAATATAAAAAGTAAAAAAAATAAAAAGAGAGACTTTTAAGCTATTTTAAAGTTTACTTAAAACTTAGCATAAGTAGTATAAGTTATAAAGAGCTAAAAAGCTAAGCTTTCTATAGCTAGTGTTTAGGTAGCCTTATTCTACTAAAACACTAAGCTGCTTTGTTAAGTTTTAGCCTTAAAGGCTTTAGTGTCTAACCTTTAGGTAAACATTATAGCGCTTTTAAGCAGCTAAGAATAAAGTAAAGGGAGTTTAAAAGAAGTCTAAAAGGGAAAGAGAAGAGGAGAGAGAAAAGAAAGAAAGGTAGAGAAGGAAGAAGAAAGTCTAAAGGTGTCTAACAGCTTACTATTAAACTTCCCTAGCACTATGTCTGTAGAATTATAATACTATTATGTATAACTATAAATTAACTTTTTACTTTTATACTTTATTATTTACTAAGTAATCTATGCCTTTTATACTAGCTTTAAAAGCCTTAATTTACTTATATAAGGCCTTTAAAAGTTCTAGCTAATTTAAATGCTTATTATAAAAAGCCTTTAGTTTATAAAGAGAACCTATAAAATTTAAAGCCTTATACTAGACTAAATTAGAGTTATGTCTTACTTATTTTACCTAGTACTTAAGCATTTTTTAGTAAAGCTTACTAGCAAGTATTTTCTTTACTTTCTACTTTTTTACTTTATTAATAGTAATTCTAAAGGGTTTTAGAAGTTCTTGTCTTAGAAGTAGATCTTAGAGGTCTTTATAAAGTATATTTAGTATAAAGATGTTATATATTTTTAACTCTAAAAGTAGCTTTAAGCAGTATAAGTTTTTAACTTATTTAAGTACTTTAAAAAAGCTTTTTTATTATTTAAATAGTTTTTAGCTAGGTTTTTAAACAGCTAGGTTCTTAGTGTCTAGGTAGGCTATATTGCTAACCTCTTAGTTAACTAGCTAGTAGTAGTAGTTAACTATAGTTTACATCTAATTCTAGGCCTTCTTTATATAAGACTTAGCTAACGCCTAGGCTGCGTGCATGTAGGTTGCTAATGCTAGGGCATCTTTATAATTTAGCTTGTCTATAGCTGTAATAGGTTCTGTAGAATGTTTCTAGTCCTAGCTTTAACATAGTTTAGAGCTATATAAGACTTAATATAAAAACATTTTAATTATTATATAAAGTAAAGTTATTTAAGCCTAATTAATTAGGGGTAGTAAGAAACTCTAGTTATCTTAGTAAAAAAATATAAAAAGCCTTAGTCTTTAATTAATATACTTATTTATAATCTTTATTTAGCTATTTATTTCTTTATAATAAGTAGTAAAAAGCTTAACTTTTACACTTAAAATTTAATAAAATTTAGACTATAAACTAGATATAAACTAAGGTCCCTAGTTAAAGATAATAGCCTTAGATATGTAGCTAAAATAGTACACTTATTAAATAAATAAAGCAGCTATTTCTTAGGTGTTAATTATTTTATAGTAGGGAATAAAAATAGCTTGTTTTAATATATAATTAATTATAACTATAATCTAGTTATAACTAGACTTATTTTTAAAAAATTCTTAAAATTAATACATAAGTGCTGCATTAGTTAATTAGAAATTAAAAAAGAGTAAATAAACTCTAAAGTTTAAGTTTATTTTAGATAAGCTTTATAATAAAAAAAGTAATTTTATATATATTATTTATAAGTAGCCTCTATACTCTTTTAGTAGTACTTTTAGAACAGTAACTAATAAGTCTTAGTAGCACTAGAGTGTGCTAAAGATACTTAATTATAAACTTTTTAGATAAGTTAAGTACACAGCAGTAAGTCTACTAAAACACATAAATAGTTAGTATAAAAAAGTAGTCTGTTTTCTATCTAATAATAGTAAAGTAAGAGTTTTTGCTTTTATATAAAAAAAAGCTTAATTCTTTTAAAGTAATATATTAATTAATTTTAAAAAATTTAAAAACATAACCTAGTCTAGTCTTTTTATAACATTTAGTAAAGTTACTTAAGTTGTTGTTTAAGTAATATAGTACTAGGCTAATTTATTATTAATTTAGAAGTAAAGTTAGTGTAGTCTAAGTAAGACCCTTAACTAGTTATTAGTTTAAGCTGCTTTAAATTTTCTACATCTTATTTATAATAGCTAAAGATGTCTGCCCTAGCGTTATTCTTACTAGGGGTGTACTTAATTTAGAAGTAATACTAAGCTAACTTTTTAGCTTAACAGACCTAATAAGCATTTAGCACTTTTATTATTATAAAGTACTCTAATAACTAATAATTAGTATATACTAAAGTGCTTATTATTACTAATGTAAGCTTAGCTTTTTATTATTTAAATATAGTAATAATTATAAATAGCTTCTTATTATGTATTTTCTAGTTTAGCTCTAAACTAGATAGAACCTTACTATAAAATAAAATAAGGCACTAATTTCTATTAGCATATTCCTAAGATAGGACTCCTGCTACTACCCTATTAGAAGTGTTAGTTTTAATTTTAGTTTATAACATAAAGTTAAAATAGTAAAGTATAGGTATTTTTAGTAGCTTAAACTTTAGCTTTTTAAAAGCTATATTACACTCTAAAGTTTATATAAAAAGAGTAGTAAGACTTTAAAGCATAATAATTAGTTTTATTATATAAAAATTTTTTAGAATAAATTATTAATAAAATCTAGTAAAGCCTAGAAAGAATTTTACACCTGTTATAGTAGTAGGCGCCTGCTAGTTGCGTAGCACTTTTACTTTTTAAAGGTTAACCTCTAGTTCTTTATTTAAAAGTATATAGCTAAGATACTTTATTTAAGTAACATAAAATTTACTTTTTTTAATCTTTACTTATAATCTTGCTTACTATAGCCTCTCTAAAACTTTTTTAATATAAAAGATATAAGTTGCCTTATTTTTAAAGTAGATAAAAATGTTATTTAAATAAGTAATATAGAAGTTGTCTAGGTAGTTAATTAATATATTATTTATATAGCGCTAGTAAGTTGCTAGGCTATTATATAATCTAAAAAGCAGGACTTTACACTTATATGTTTTATATTATGTCTAAAAGGTTATACACTTTTTAAAGCTTAGGTCTATTTTAATCTTATTAAAGGCTACATAAATATTAAACTTAGTAAAGATAGCTGCCTTTATAAGTCTTAATAAAAGTTTATTTATACATAGTATTAAATACACATCTTTATAAGTAATAGTATTAAGTTTATAGTAATTAACATAGATACATAAGTTACTATTTAGT